AGCAAGAATAATGTGCTTCGTTCTAGTGGGTGGTAAAATGAAGACCTGTAGTCTCGAGCATCAAAGTCTGCTTCAAATCTATTGATCTATTTGTCTGATTACCATTAGCTACAGACAAATCCAAACACCATCTCATCTCTGTGCGATCAATGTGTGTGTCTGCGATGTAACTGTGCGGTTGTATAACTGGCAAATAAGTGACCTGTAGTAAAGGACTAATATGTGCTTAAAAAACGTTGATTGTTTCATGGGGGAAAAAAACCTGAAGCAACACAGAGGATTCAGCAGCCCAGAAGTGCTTCCACTGAGTGATTTTCCTCCTGGTCAGGCTCCAGTACAGTGTACACCCAGTGGGCTGTGTACACAGTGGCGGGTGTTAAACATATCCTGCTGTCTAGTGTCAGTTTTACTGTGTGTGCTGCTGTTGGGATGTAGCCAGACTTGCCAGCTTCCTAAAGATCACTTTCCCTTTAAATGGATCACAAAAGGTGATTTCTACTCGCAGCTCAGCGAAGAGCAGGGGGGAACAAAGTGTGAACTATCAGTTCTCACAGCAACAGCTGGAGTCTAACCTCCCTGGGTGAAATTAAAGATCCCCTCCTATAGAAAATGTGAAAGAGAAGGTTAGCGACGGAGCTGAAGAACTGACAGATACTAAAGTGTGGAAGTAATTTTATTAAAATGAGATGTCAGTGAAACGTGAGTCCTCTTCTAAATGATTACTGGTGATTATGATATTTTCCTAATAGGTAAAGTCACCTATTATAATCTTTCTCCAGAATTAAGAAAAATACCTAAAATCCTTTTTTATAATTTTTACTTTTTACAAGTCTACTCGTGGCAAATTAGTGCAGATTATATCCAAGATAAGCAGATGTGTGTGAGAGGTGTGTTAAAAGGTGTCAAGTAGCAATTAATGAGGATGTTAGTCCCAGGATCTCACAGGTCCTTTCAAACTAATAACCATGAAACACAGTGTGAACGAGGTAGGTGTTTGTCTTTTTTTGCCCCTTTTGTCTTTTAATCTTGTTAATACTGACTGACTCGGCAGTAAAAACAAAAACTAGCCCAGTTTCCTTCACATAGCGCATTGTGGTGCATTGGGAGCAAAAAACGGTGTGGATCAGTGCATGGAGGTGCAAGGGGGTTCAGAAGGAAACCCAGCAGGGGGGCTTCATCCCTCCTGGGTGCTCTGTAGAGGCTATAACAGACAGTGAGGAACATGGGTGTTGACATGGGCCCAAGTCAGTGCTGTAATGCGCTGTACATCTCCATTAGCACTGAGCGTTTTGGAGCTGCTACTGTAGCTTTTGTGTTGTAGGTGAATGTTTGTTTCGATAAAGAAAAACACCACTAAAACATTTTTTATCCACACAAGTACGTTTACGTTATAGCATAACTGAGCTTAATAAAAGTCCATTTGATACAAGCACAAATATAAAATGTTTTTTATATTTGTTTTTTGACAGCTTATATTTATTTCACCAGAAAAGTGATGACAAAATTAATTGTGTATTAGCAAAATTGCATTAATCGGTTAATGCAGTTTTACTCTGGTGAACTCGAGAGTGTATCATATTGTGCGTGTGTATTGCACACAGAAGTGCTACAAGAAATAAAGGGAGCTCTTTCAAGTCAACCCTGTCTTTTACACTTTGTGTATTTGCATCACAGATGAGCCAGTCTCACCCCGGGATGGGCTTCAGTTGAACAGTCAGCTGAGCTACTCTAAGTGCTTTCTTGTTTAACTTGGGTGATTTGTACAACACACACTCAATAACGTTATAATTTTGTCAAAAGTAACTTGTCAAATATTAAAATAAAAGTGGGACTAAACAGAATAAAGAAAATAATTGTATAAATACGTTGTCTGTAATGTCTCTAAGGAGAAGCAGATAAACCAATAACTCTGACACTATTTGTATCTATATGCTATCCTACACGCATTAGAACTGCAAGTTGGTTCTATTTATCAAACGCCAGTGTCTCGTTGAGAGGGAAACAGATTGCGTGCTGGCCTGAAACAGACTTCATCAGGTCATCTGAATTGATGATACATGTTGCAAGGCGGCTGAGTTCCCCCAGAAACCTCTGCTGGAGTGCTTGCTGGCAGAGACGGGGGCCTCCGCCAAGTCTGCCTGACTGATCACTACAGATGCTCCTCTTCAAGTATTCCGAGTCAGATCCTTAGTGCTGGGTCTTGAGGGACAAACAATAGCACCTGTTCCTCATAAGATAGCCGATTCATGTATCTTTAATGAAGCCTGGGGGCAGATGGTGTGAAATGACATTATCCAGTACTTAGCAGTGCTAAGACAAAGGAAGAGCAGTTCCAGCACAACAATGCGGCTGTATTTACGAGGAGAAGGGAGGACGCTGCCCAAGTGCCCCGCTCACATCTGTTCCACTTCATTCTCAGACTCCTCAAGATCATCTTGGCAATAGAAATATCCCGGGCACTCAGCCCATACATAGATGAACTTGAGGGTAACTCTTAAAGGGGGGATGGGTTTGTAGTACAGCGGGAGAGTGGAAGCTACATAGGAGCATAATTTATTTCTGTCTGTTTTCTAGAATATATTTCTTTATTTTATTCTTCAACTTTACTTTAACAGTCAAATAAAAAAAAGCACTTGTGAAAATGTTATAATCTGCTCAGCAACTTGCCAGCTGTTAATTGACAGCTCAACTAACCTCCACTATTTGTTACCACCTTGAAGCTCCTTAGAATTTGATTTGCCTTTCTCTGACATTAGTTGCCGTAAATTAAACTTTAATGCATGGAGCTCATTACTGCAAATCACAGCTATTCAAACTCAATGCATTTATTTCCCCTTCATTGCACATTCACACTGTCTTGCCTCGATGAATCTTGTATATTCTGCTCCATATTTTAAAAATAATAATAGTAATAAAAGCTGATATCCCAGATGAAATGACATAATTTACATTTAGTGCTGAGGAGATACATCCAAGTATGACTTTTGCTGGCTGTCTCTCGGTACATATACTGTGTATAATATCTATTTTAATATATAATATAATATATATATTTCTATTAAATTAGTCAATGCTGTCATATTTGTCTACTAAGATTTGAAAAAGTATAAGGATCAGATTGTTTGCTGGTATGAATTGAAAATAAAAAAAGGTTATTTGCGTATTGAACATTTCAACAATACACTGTAAGATGGTACGTACAGTCTCAGAAAGTTGTTTTCACTAAGAAGAGTGTTTGAAAAACATTTTAGTCAATATCCTTGTTTGGAAAATTGAATTGTAAGTTACTTTTAATGTACTAACAAGGCATGTTAGTTAATTCATGAAAGTGTATGAAGTACCGTGCAACACACTTGTAACATACTTGGAAGTATGTGGACTTGAGGGAGCCCTTTTCTGCCCTGTGACTATGGCACATTCAGCAACAAACTGCATCTGGTTTTACAGTCCAAACACACAGACAGAGCAAGGCTGTGTTCCCCAGTGTCCCCCCGCCTGTCACTAGCCCTACCTCATGTTGTGACATTAATTATTGTGTTTTTCCATATGTTCCATACATGCAAGGCCAAGATTAATCTTTCATCCATTCAGCGTGGAAAGTTGGAACACAAATCCCTATAAAGCAATGTTTTATTTAAGGTCATTTGTCGCAGGCTACTTGGCCATTTATTTTTATTCACTAACAGCACATTTTACAGAACTACTTTTGGAAGAATTACATACTTTTCTATTCTTCTATAATGCACTTTCTGCACTTGCACTTGTGTAAAAGCTCAGTAGGCATAAAACAGTTCTATTTATTTAGTTTTCAGTCTAGCTCTGCACCTCTGGACAGATCAATAAAGTAGTTTTAAATAGGTTCAGCTTGCTAGCTGTGAGAGAAACTGGGTGCGACTACACCGGTAGAGGGTCTACAGGGGGAGCAACACGGTCTGAAAAAGTGGATATCATAGCAGACCTCAGCCAGAACACGGGGGGAAACCGTTTGCTCAGAGCAGGTTGATTTCATGCCCCAATGCAGCGGCAGTAATTGCACCCAGACGCGTTTTATTGCGAGTTGATTTTAAGGGGGGATGAATGGAGAAACATTCTGTAAAGTGTTTATTTTGGGGGATGACCTTTATTAACCCATTTTCCAGGCAGGTTCCCCTGAGGTGGCCTGGCTCAGTGCTAGATTAACCCTCGCAGGCCCATGGTAGCCGGGCTGCTCCCCATCATAGTGTTTCAGGAAGCAGAGAATGACAGTAAGATTGGCCCTTGCAACATGTGTGCAAAACCCCCACAATCCACTTTTGAGACACAAGCTACTCACCCACCCTTGACATACACGTGCAGGGAGTTTTGTTTGATATTCCCAGTAGGCAAGTCAGCAACAGACTGGATGGTGAAGGTTAATATGTGAGTTGAAGAGACAGTCAGAGAATGACATTAAAATGAAATACAGCAAGCGGCAAGCCCTTTTCAACTGCCTGCTATTTTTCCTCTGATGAAAACAGTAGTAGTAAATTACCGGATTGTCTTCAGGCTTTTATCATCTATTCTAAATAAATGCTCGTCCAAGATTATGTGAGCAGTTGATCTTCCCTTGGGGTGAGGGTCTCCAAAGTGATACATTCAACAATCCTCCTGCTAACATGTATCTATTGCAAGAGCAAGGGTGTAGTGAATGCCTATTTTAACATGTACAATGCTTCTCTCTACAAGTGTAACAGACCTACTGAGCCTCTTTGCCCTCTGTCCTGCATGTCGCTTCATCTAAGTCATGCTGTAACAATGTGCTTATGCAGGCGCCTTTGATGTACCGAGGTGAAATTGTGGTTTGGATTAAGAGCAGGCGTAGCTCGGCCAGGTATTGTATGAGCACACGAGGGCAGTCAGTGCCGCGGAGCCCCCTGTCAGCACGCGTTAGCGAGAGCTGTGATCTGGTCTACCCCTGAGTGGGCTCTGTGTTTCTGCCTATGCTTAGGCCTCTCTCTGATCTCTGCTCCCTATCTGTTCAGCAGGTCCAGGGTCACATGCCTCCGCTCATGATCCCCATTTTTCCACACGACCAGCGCACTCTGGCAGCAGCAGCCGCCGCCCAGCAAGGATTTCTCTTCCCTCAAGGAATGTCTTATAAGCCAGGTATGCTTGCAACAAATTCTCTCTGTGTTGTGTCTTTTCCCTTATACGTTTATTCATAATTATGATATTTATTTTATATTGTATTCTTAAATTATGAAGTCACACTTGAGGCCCTAGGCAATCCCTGTTCTGTCTGAACTTGGGCATGAGACCAAGGCCTGGGAATGTTCTAGTCCATGTGGAACAATAGACATGGGCAGAGAAAGAGAAGAATGTCAACATGTCTTCAACATGAAAGTATTGTGAAGTGGACTGCTAGCTGTAATTGTTTTCCAAGTATCCCTTAGAGAACCAATAACTCAGGAGATAAAGCCTGAATGTAAAGTGTTGTTATATGCATAAAAAGCAACCATCTTAAACGTTTCTAACTAATAGTAAGACATTTAGAAGGTTAAGGATAGCTTTGGTTTGATTTAAGGAACAGGTTTTTCTGTATGAATGTCTAACTGTTTTCCTTGCATGTAACAGCATGCCTCTTTCTTTCCCTTTGTCTTTTGAGTTAAGTAAAAGATATGCCTTCCACAGTATTCAAAACAAATAAAAAAAGGTTTTATGAGAAAGGTTGACTGATGCCATGCCAAAGCAGCAAGTGTGTACACCCTTATATCCTTGTGATAAGTAAAACAAAAATAATCTATGGTCTAAATTGCTTCAAAGTCTTAGTGTTTAACCTCTCATGGCTTACTCGGTTCCAGAATCTACTCTATTAGTTATTTAATCATATCAATCAAACTGAATTTGTTTAAAAAATATATAAATCACTCCAGGGCATGCAAATAAAAGGAGACAGTGTTATGTTGATGACGCATCAATTTAAAAGAGAACAGGATTTATGAGGGAGCTTGAAAAAAGAAAGTCCTCTTGCCTGTTATAAAGCAGCACCAGAACAAGGAACAGCACTGAAAATGGAAAAAGAAACACTTGGAAGTCAGCATGTTCGCAGCAGAACATTAAAAGGTGTGGTAGTGCAGTTAATGAATTAACTATAAAACCACAGGATGAAAAAAAAAAAGTCAGCTATTTTGGAACTATGGAGCCATGACAGCTTAAACAAAGTGCCTGAGGGGGAGTCTTTTGCCATGGTGCTTTCTGCAATAGGTTTGACACGGAAAATGTTTTAGTTCAAATAACAGGAGCTATTATGGAATCATGGTCAGGGGTCGTCATGTGTGTAGTTCCTGCATAATTCATGAGTTCACGAAGGCAAAGCAAAGGTGGTCTGAGAATGACTCGTGTAGTCAGGAGAGGTATTTCAAAACATCTATTATTCCTCATCCAACACAATATACACAATATATCCAGAGAGCACAATGTTATCACCACCACCTGCAGAGTATACAGGATGCTGCCGTGTCCTTTCCCCATGAAGTGAGTGGCCAAGCATTCACTTCCAAGACTAAGGCACACTAATCTGATGTTATCATTATGAGAAAGCTCCCAGGGACCACTGCTTATGACCCCCAGCCCTGTGGTGCTCACATGGCAACCAAGTCATTTTAGCACCATAGTGATAGGTCATCACCTCATGTACTGGCTGTGCTCAATGGCCTGGTGGTGCATGGTAGACAAGCACAGTCGCAGAAATATCAACTAATCTTTTAAACAAATAGACTTTCCTGTCTGTTCGCACTGTTTACACAGAGATGGCAGCATTCAGTCTGATGTGCCTCTAATGGACCTGCAGAATGACCCCATCGTTTTGAGGTTCCTCTGCCAGTCTTCTCATAGACAGCCTGCTGACAGTTAACTGTTTCCACATTTCATTTTAAATATTTTATTTTTTGACCACATTTGTATATAAGATATCTTAACATAATGTAACTTAAAAAAAACAGAATCATCATCAGTTCAACTTGAAATCGTACCAATATCAGATTAATTATCTATATTCTTATTTTCCTGTTAGCCGGTAATAAGGTAGAATTTAGAAAAGAAGATCAAGTTTGAGGGTTGTCGCCATGTACTTCATTCATCATCATTTGATCTGTTCTAGGAAAGGTCTCAACTACATCTGTCATCCCTCGGCAGATCTATGACTTATATTTCATGGCACCACATGAGCAGGGAAATATAGTCTGTCGTGACCATGGCGTCACCTGCATTGCCCCCAGCCCCACCCCCACTCTTAGCATTCAGAGTCCAGGCTCTGGGCATGGGACCAGCCATGGCCAGTTAAATAAAAAACACAGTTTTAAAAGCAATGCCCTTTCACCAGTGACGTTAACCTGGCATAGCGCCCATTCGGATGGAGACTGGTGCCTCGACTGTGTACAGCCTAGACCCATACGTTGGAGCCCGAGACCCCCCGGCGGTGGTGGTGTGCTCACTTAGCACATGACCCTCCCCAGGTTTCACATGACATCTAAAGACATCCAGCCATTTGTTATTTGCAAAGCCTGCGTCACAGACAGCATAGAGAGAGGGAGACAGACAGAAAGCGATACCAAAAAAGAGGTGTAGAAATAACCACAGTGCGCTCCTTCACATCCAACCCAGCACTATTTGAAACCACTTCTGCTGTGTGATTTTTATTTGCTACTAAATGGGGATTGAATTTCCATGGCTTGTATCACATTGTGCTGTGCTGTACAAGATTGCAAAGTGAGGCGAGCGGGCGAGGGCAAAGTGAAAGAGAAGGTATATACATTTACCTTGTCTGTGGCTTAATGGCTCCATATGTTTGTGAGAAGAAGTGACAGGCAGAAGTGGGGTCTGAGCGAAGGCCAACTACCCCTCCCCACTCCCACTGTGCACCCCACCTCCCCTCCTCCAGACACATGCTTCAAACCAACCTCCCCCTATAAACGCTGAGCTGCACTGTCTCACTGGGGCTGTTCAGTCCGTCTAAACACACTATGTCGAGTGTGTAAAAGCGTCTGGTACCCCAATGGATATCACTCATACAGCAGCCGTTCTTATATCCATGTCTGACAAACATGTTTGCAGGTTTTGTTTAACCCTGTTATTGTGACTACACACTTGTTCTAACCAGTTCTCATACAAGTGCTTTCCCTTTGCTGCCAAAGCTAACACTCAGAAACAAACAATGTAGTGTTGAACAATAGCCAGACAAGTCTACAGCTGTACGAACTGCCTGAAAGAACATGCTGGTCCTTTTACATAATCGCTAATTTAACACCACGGGACATATTTAACATTTATTATGAACACAGACACATGCACTCATAAAACTAAAAAGAACACCTAACTTGTTAAACTATGCAGTAGTTATTTTCTGGATAGATTTTGTGCAGGTGTAGGAAGGAGGGAATGGTGTGGAACGTTCCTAAGTAATCTTGCTCCAGTCAAACTAGCTTACCCTTTTGTTAATGCAGATGTTTGGGCTTGAAGCCGAGGGCTCGTTGCAATGTGCCACATTGCTGTGGCAAAGTGAAGGGCCCAGGATCCGTGTTGGCACTTGCCTGGTAGCTGTGGGCCGGCTCATTGTCTGAACCTGTAAGCATTGTTGTCTTTCTCTCTCCCTCTCTGACAGGTGATAACTACCCGGTGCAGTTCATTCCATCCACAATGGCAGCTGCAGCCGCGTCAGGACTCAGCCCCCTCCAGCTTCAGGTATGTACAGTACTATGACAAAGAATGCTAGGGACGCCCGCCAAGCCCAGGGTATAAAGGATGGCTAAGCAGCTGTACGCTAAGTAATGAGCTGCACACTAAATAATCCTCGAGGCCCCCAGCTCACACACGCTTATCACCTTACATATGTAATTTATCCTGTTTTATAGAAGATTTATCCCACTAGCTCTGCCAGACAGAGGAGTTAGGCAGATAATAGTTATTAGAGGGAATGAGAATCACTTTGGTTGCCTTAATCGCCTGCCAGTAAATTCATCAGGAGACAATTGACTGTGTAAGCAAAGAATCTCCTTTTAATTTTTTTTAATTTAGGATTTTTCTTCATCCCCGAGACACGATAAATAAGAAGGAAGAAAAGACAAAAAATATGGGTAACCTAAATATGTTCTCATGATACGTTACAAAAAGTGAGGCTGTGTAGGGGTTCTCAGACACATAACATGTTGGGATAGGCTCCAAGCCCTACAGGCTCCTCCAGGACTTTTCTCACACATCAATTAACAAAAGATGAACCCAGGTCAGGGCTTACCTGAGGCTATAATGTTTATTACAGATAATTGTCTCCGTTCTGCCCTTCACATTTCAAATATCATAAATACTACTGTTACAAGGGCTTCTCTTAGCCTGGTGCATAACCCTTGCTAACCTTTGACTAAGTCATAATCATCATAAAAGTACTGTAGCAACAGGAAGCTGGATTATGCAGCAACACTGCTGCTTGTTGCTTCTCTTAATTAGCAGTTTACATTGCAATTCTCATTAAAGTAGACCTTAAATCTATTTGGAATCATAAATAAGTTCTTTGGAAACAAAAGATTAAAAAGCATCTCTCCTGACATGTGGTTAAGTGGCCGATGCTGCTTTTTCAACATGGGGGAAAAGTTATTGAAAGCTGCAACATGTGATGCTCAACATCAGATATAAAGATGTCAAGATTAAACAAGAAAGTTCAAGACTGAGGGTGAAACGTGTTGCACACTGATATATGTGGCATTTGTCCTTCTGAGCCTACCACTGTCAGTGTTAACGAGCCTTGGCAAGTTGGAACAATGCTCGCAGCTGGCTCTGAAGAGCTGTGCGTCATTATGCAGCCATGAGAGGAGTGATTAGAAACATGCAAGGTGTTAAGTATGTATGCTCATGTTAAAATGTGTGTCCTGTAAGAGCAAAAGGTGAAGGGAGTGTATGTGAATATTTTCTGGGGTGTATATGTGTCGCTTAGTTTGTGTATCATGGAGATGTCTGTTGGAAAGGAGCGGTAGTTCAGACAGGCATGCAGAGTCTATTTATATTTGTGTATGAGGTCAGATGAGACAGTCATATATCTGAAGGTTGGGGTGAGGAGGGGAGACGGGTCTAGAGTGATTCATTCTGATTATGTATCTAACCCTGGGAATGGGCAAAAACAGTGCCTCCAAGACCATGACTTGGCTGACCTTTACAGAACACAGTAAACAAAAAGAGGTGCATTTTTCATTAATTGAAGTCTGTCAGCCTGTCACATATTCAGCCTGCTGGCTGCTATTTACCCTGCATAGAGACTCCCCTTAAAACAGCAAGGCAAGTCAAACATGCCCTTTTCTACATAGCTGGGATCAACAAACCATGTGACTGCCACCACTTCCTCTACAAAGCACTGGGAGCCTGCTCTGATTAAAAACATCATATCAAGCCAGACATGGAATTAAGTTAGAGGTGTCTCCTCCCCTTTAGAGCAATAATAGCACCAGTGCCCTCCTTCAAAATTAAACTATTGAAAGGTATACTCCAATATGTGTGTGAGAGAGAGATAAACAAGAGAGAGAGATAGGGTAAATCAATGCAAGGAAGCAGAAAAAAGGACTTCTTACAAAAAAAATCACATGATAAAACTTTGATTTTTGTAACTTTAAGTACCTGTGACTACTCTAGGGCTCCTGTAAAAGAAAACATTTGATGACTTTGAAATGAACACATTATGTCCATGTTATAATGATGCAACTTGTAATTTAATATGCACTCAATTTTTTTTAAATATTTCAGCGAACCACGCTTATGACTTACTATTGAGTTCATGCTACATGCAACATCAAGCATAATTCTCCCTTAACACCGTCCTGAACTTTTCTAGTTTTACTTCCAACCATATTCTTCACCACAGACACACACATAATCCGCCACACATATGGCTGGAAATGCTGCCCCCCCCCAATTAAAATATCTCTTCCTGTCAGCTGCGTGGCAAGGTATAATTTTCACCAATTTACTCAGTTTAGATTGTGCAATATATGAACCTTAAAAAATATCTCATTGGAAGAATTAATTCCCACAATGCTGGAGAGGTAATGTGATCAGCCATCCAGTCAGGGAGGCTAGCCGCTCCGTCAGTCTTAATGTTGGACACGTAGCCTCTTCACAATCTCCTCTGTCATAACAGTCTGGGATCCTCCCCCCCCCCCCCCCATCCCCACCCTTTCTCTCCTAAGAGAAGAAAACTCAACAAGGTAACAAAGGCTTAGAGCTGATAGATGTAAATGAATCTTGGAGGATGCGTTTGAGTGTTGGAGACTGTAATTTTCTTGTCAATACAAGGTGGTAGCATCACTCTGTCGGCTGGCAGACTGCAAGTGGCTGTCACTAGGCATTGCTGTACCATTGGGCAATTTCACTCAATGTTTTCCTGACAGATTGGCTCTCGTCCTCAACTCACAGGAGAGGAGGCGGGTAAACTATCCCAGCGCGACATGCCCCTCTTCATTAGTGCCCACACAGAGCTGGGATGAGCTGAGGACCAGCAGGAAACAATGGCTCCATCCCTGCCTATCCTTCCATGATTACAACTGACACCTCTCACCTAACAGAGGAAATTGTGCTCAGATTGTACCCCAATCTGTCCGGACACCCACTATATTCAATTGAGTGTAGACACAAGAAGCGCATTTCCCTAATTCTACAAAAGATGTTTCTATTTGGGATGGCACTTTATCGCTGTTTTCCTGTTAACAAACTGTATATATCGCTTGCCTTTTTACGGAGCCAGTAAACAGAAGGAGGACTTTGTGAGAAAGTCCTTGTTATTTTAATCATCGGAAGCAGAATTTGGGGTTCAAGCCATTTTAAGGAATGTATTATTGGATAAAACAGAACATCTGGGTTCCTCGTATACAGTATCACTGTTAGGACCAAATAAATAGAAAGCTTCTGCTTTCACTCAGTCAGAGCTCCTTTTTCTATCTCTTGCTGTCTCTGTCTCAATGTCTTGCTTTTCCCATTTCCCATCGACATTCTGAACCATTTATAAGTTTCTTAGTTTGTGTGTTTCTTTTTCGTTTGCTCATCCTGTCTGCGTGTTGCTTTTTCTTTCCTGAAGTGTCAAAGCCCATAACCTCTTTAGGCTTTACAGCACTGGAGGTCTAGCTGCTTGAGTTAAGACTTCGCAATTACCATCTGCCGTATTTGCCATGGCATCTCTCTAGGCCCATGATAAACCTGGTCCCAGCCTCGGCTCATGCTCCCACTGTAAAGATGAAAAGCAGTCTACATGCTCAGCGACCAGATTTCAAGCAGACACATCTGAAGGAGTACTCAGCCTGAGACGACTACAGTGATAAGAAAGAGTGTTACACAGTCAGGGACAAACAGGAAGAAAGTGGGAGAGCAGCAAACCGCACATTATCTTTTGTTTGGATGTAAATGCCTGTGTAGTACAGATGTGAAGAAACAGCTTCCATCATTAACAAGTGAAGCACTTTTGACTTTGAAAGAGAGAGAGGGGGAGAGGAGGAGGGGAGAAAGAGAGAACAGACATACTGTAGAGAGCAGCTGTTTCTGTGTTTATGAGCAGAGGAGCTCGGTCTTTGAAGGTAACCCAAAGCAGTGCAGCAATGCTAGCCGTGTGTGGAAGGCTGGCTAATAGGACGGCTATGTGAGCAGCTGGATGGAGGCAGTGGTGAACAGAGGGACAGATGGACAGATAGAGTGGATAATGCAGTGAGCTGCACTGAATGGGAGGGCTGGCTCTTGGGCCCCTGGGCCTGGAGAACATACACACAAACTAACAGAAGACGGGCTATATATTGTGTGTGTGTGTGAGATAGAGAGAAGGACTTCAACATATATACTGTTGATGTAAGATCGAGAAATAGAGAAAAGGCAAGCGGAGGGGTAAGGGCAGAGCAGGTTGGGCGCCAGCAGATGAGACAGATGTTAGGCCATACTGGAAAGCATCGGCACAGTGCACCAGGACGCCTTCCTCCACTCCTGACATCTGGGCCCAGCCTGGGTCAGCCTGCCCGGGCGCCCTGGGCAATGAGCCTGTACAAGCCTCGTGGCAAACGGGGCTGGCGCTGTGCTGCCTTTTAAATGGTGTGGTGCATTGAAGCAGTTAGTGCACTCATATCCAGCCCAGTGCTTTGCGCCCAGGCCAGGCAGAGGTGAATGAGACATTGACTGACGGACACACTCAGACACAAAGAGTAGGGCAGTATTCAGTCAACACTCACCTTATGTAAAATTCAGAGTTGGTTCATCGGTACTTTTCATGGAAATAGTTTTTTAAGGCAATTGGTTTCCTTTTTTTTTTAGAGGCTGCCTGTCTTAACTGCATATAGTTCTTCTGAGATGTCTTACATCATCAGCAGAGTGTGTAATCTCAGTTTAATGTCGCAGGCAGAAAAGTGAATATCTCCGTTTAACCTCTGCTTCCTCCAGAGGGCTTGTTTTTAATTAACAGAGGCTAACGGGCTGACCTTGGGCGTGCTGCACTCACTTTGAATCCATGCTTGCTGAGGTCTGCTTCGTCCACTGGGAAACAGGGAATGATGGGGTCAGAAGGAAGACCTTAGATTTTGTGTTTGTGCATCTCCTTATTTATGTGTGTAATAGTACTGTTTTTAGGAAACCTAAACCTTTCAAAACACAAAAAGTAACACATAGTGAATTGTAAAACTAGTTGTACACACACTTTTAATCATGGAAAGGTTTGTACTGCCTTTAAGCTAAGAGAAACCTTTTATAATAAGTGAATATTTCTTGTTTGCCAGATTTTTTAACATTAGTTTTTTTAATATTGCTTTTTGCCAATTCCTAATATAGTATAAGCTATACCTTAGGTTGCAGCTCTATGGCTTTACATTTTCAGGAGTGTTACATGTGTCTTGAAAGATGTATTTGGTTCCCTGATCAAATAGTGCAAAATAACTTCTGTTAACACTGTAAAGGGAAAAAAAGGAAACGGAAAAGTCCTATGCTCCAGTCAGGCTTTTGCCTACTCCTCCAACACCCCAGAGAAGGAGCCTCGACTTTCAGCTTGACCCTAAATAGCGTAAACCTTTTGCTGCCACCACCTGGCAAGTAGATACGAAGAAGGGGTTACTAGATATAAGAGATCCAATTGGGTGAAGCGGGCAGATGTCTTCTGCTTAGGGAGACCGGCCTTGGCAGGATGCATGATCCTCAGCCTTGACATTGACACCTTCCTTTACTTTGTAACGTTGTTGCTTCCAACTCACTTACGTAATGGGTGTCAAACAATCATTTTGTTATCCACTGTCAAGGTATTTTATATTATATATATATATATATATATATATATATATTACATACTGTAATGCTATAGGAAATACCTCCACACTCCACACATTGAACACTGAGGTAATTCACATAAGTCCTTGAGCAGTATATGGTGGGTTAAAACACTTTTCATCTGTCTTTCCCCCTGATTGTATTTATTGTTCTTTGGCTTTTTGAGGCAGAGTGTTTCTTTTTACAAGGATAACCATTGCTTCTCACCCCATGGCACTGACCTGCTAATCAGTGCTGAAAAGGGGCACCCTGACTGCGTCTAATTTGAGGCAAAGTCTAATTATGCTCTTTTTCCGGGACAATAAAGTTCTTCCCACTCAAGGTCAGGGGCATGCTCCTCGACAGGCCTGTTAGCAAACATCTGTCCAACAGACTCAGCTTCCGCTTCTTCACTGAGACTAGCCTGGAGTGACAGCCAGTGAATGGAGACTCCTCTGTCTCACTCCCTCTGTCACTCTCTCCCTTTCTCCTAAAACCAGCCCCCCCCACACACACACACAGAGTGCCTTCACCACTGACATTAACTAAGTCTAGCTCAGATGAGAAGAAAATAGAGTTTGGTCTGCTCCTGTGTCCATTTGGAGACAAAAGGCTGTTTGTGAAGGAGGTGGGGGCAGTGCTATCATTGTAGGAACATAATCAGTCTGTCATTTCCGCTGCCCATGTGCTGTTGTTATCCCCTGGTCCCAGAGAAGAATGGACCTTTTGTACTGCCACTTATGTGGCAGCGATAAAGTTTCTTACAGGAGCACATATGTGTTTATAACTGGAGATATGTGCAAAGACATAAAGTGCTTTGTTTGGCTTTAGTCCCCATCTACAGCGTCAAAGGTGAGGCCAGCTGGTCCAGGTCCCTTTTTCCCATCTACACAAATGCAGTCTTATGCACCCAGTGGAACCAGGAAATGAGACAGGTTGTGCTGATTGGCCAAAGGAATATAAATTAGATTCTACCTGACAGCACCATTTGACTGAATAAACCAACACACCATAAGGCTTACTTTGTGTGTAGAGAGCAGGCCAGTAGGGTGCTATCTGTCTGATGAGGTGAGGTTTAAGGCTACATGGAGTAACACTCTTTCTTAGACAGTAGCTCTATTTGACAGACCCCTGCTATTTGCAGCAGGAGACAAAAGCCAATTTCATCACTTACCTGGTGGCAAATCAATACAGGCCTGGAGCGGAAAGAAGTGTCAGCAGTAGGGGAGTACTGGGCTGTTGGAACAGAAATACAAGCACACAAATAATCATCAAATCAGTATTTTCTTTGTTTCGATTTTAATAATGTAAAAAACGGCACACAACTTAAGGTCAATACATAAACCTGTACATTTATTCAGGATAAAGTTTGAAATACTATGTCAACAATATAATTCAACAGACAATTTTCAGTCTGTGGCTCACCAAATTTTAAAAAAAAACTTCAAAACCCATTATATTAACCTCTTAAGTGGTGGAATTGTAAACATAGCTTCTTGAGTTCAACCCTGTACAGGCCTAACCGTTTTTTAGTGCTGCACCAGTCATTTTAACCACCCTCTTGTGTGGTAATGTCACCAACAGTTGGACATCTTACTGATTTAATGCCAAGGAAAATAACGGTGATTGCATCAGTGTTCTTTGTGCAGGTTTCTAAGCCTTAATAATTCTTGTCTTTACCATGTTCTGTGATGGCAGTCCAACCGAGCTTGGGTTTCAAACATTATGGGACTGTCTCACATGGCTGTGTGGAGATGAATCCCAGGCCAGAAACTTCAATGGGAAGCTGTGTAGACCTAGAGAAATTAGAGATCTTTGCTAACACACTTGCATCCACTCTGAAAACTTTTCTCTGTGATGAGTGGAAAATAGGGGCTCCAAGTATTTTGAATGAAAGCCATCTCTGTGTGGTTTTTTAAGACTGCTGTCTCTCTCTGGGTTCTGCCTTTGAAATACAGTTAAGACCTTTGATGGACGTTCTATGCCAGCCTCATGGAAAGAGAGGAAAAACGTAAAAGAGAGAAAGGGGGAGATATAAAGGCAGACACAGAAGTAGAGAGAGTCCAAGGGAGGAGAAAAAACAGAATATAAAACTTTGAATGTTTACTGGATTTGGATGCTAACTGGTTTCTCTACCTCCCAACAGCAACTGTATGCCGCGCAGCTTGCCAGCATGCAAGTCTCTCCCGGAGCCAAGTTGCCTCCACTACCCCAGTCCTTCAATGCGAGTGGGCCCATTTCTCCCTCTTCTCTGAAGAATGACAAGAGTTCCTCCAGCCCCATCACTCACATCAAGGTACAACCCTCAACATCCTTCAACCTGCCCACCCATCAGCGTAGGCCTTGAGTGGCACTTGACTGATCCTAGCCTAGTTGGGGTTCTCTGAATAAAAACACAGTTCACTACTTCAGAGTTGCAGCCGGCCGGTGCTGAGCCCAGCCTCTAACAGCCCATCAATCTGTGAGGCTTTAACAAGGCTCTCTCTCTAAACCAAAAGCCTGTGGACATAGTTGCTATGGCTATGACTGCTCAAAGCCAGTAATTTGTGGAACACATGGTTTCTACGTTTCTTTTCTGCATTTTTTTCAAACCAAAATGAAATAAAACTGGGCTATACTAATGCTTCCAAAAGTAAATCAAAGAGTAGAATAGACGTCTATGTTTGCCTTGTGAACAAACCAAATGCTGGATGTGTTTTCTGCTGCTGTATGGCACGGCTCCAATCAACCTCCATGCAGCATAAAGTGCCATGTACATCATTCCCACTCACTGAGGCGATAATCGGAAACATACGCCCATTTGGAGTAGTTTAGGGTAATAATATTACAATGGAGAAAGACTATTAATCATGTCTTGAAATGGTAGGAAAGCATTCTGGCTTTTTCTTCATACGTATGCACACACATCCTTCAGGTCTACTGCCTCTTGGGATTTCAATTGAAGGAATACCATTAAGCTGACTCAACAACTGTCATTTCATCAAATAAATACAACTACTGTATCTACTTTTACGATATGAGAAATGGAAAGACTCATTCTAGTCAAAATATTACAAATACTGCCAAATATCACAACATCTAATAAAATGAATTATTCATGAAGCCTGTGCAACAGTCCAATGAAATCAGATTGCCTTAAGTTGTGTTTGTCTACTTTCAGCTTCACTGCATGACAAACTGTTATTGGCACAGCAATAACATGGCCTTAGGGCAGTCTATGCTTGAGCCATATGTTTGGACAAGGAGACACTTGGGCTTTGAAAAAGACTTAACGACAGCATGAGCCTTAATCTGATTTAAAAGATGCTGTACACGGGACGATTTTTTCTGTGCTAAGTGACATTTATTTTCTGGGAGGAGAATATTTGAGTTGTATCTATTCAGAATTATTCAGCATTTATTGTATTTAATCAAATACACTGTGCATATGGAATTTGGTGTGTTGTAGTTCAAGTCAAACCATTGAGTTTCTTCCCAAATTACATAATATATGTTTTTATAAATAGGCATATCAAAGCATATGATAAAACCAAGTATGAACAAATGAAGAGTGAAATTACAAAAAACAAGTTAATGAAGTAGATAATGTAAGTCGACATCTGATGAATAGAACAGCTGTCTTTGATCATTGGCACCGCCGTTATCTGGTCATTATTTATTCTTCGAACAAGAGTGCAGACAGAGAGCAGGGAGGAGGAGAGGGAGAACAGATGAAGACGTACAGAGAGACAGAATCTGCTTTAATTAGTGTGAACAAAGGCGCTGGGCAACTGTGAAGAAGATCGCAATGGCACAGCTCCTAAGGAAGGATGGATGAGTAGAGGAAAGGAAAAAAGGGAGAAGGAAGAACCAGGGAGGAGGTGTGGGTCAAGATAGGGATCCTATAATTAACCAAGAACAGAGGAGAACTATGTGTCTGGGAATCAAGAGCTCCTCCAAATATGGAGGGGGTGGGGGCACCTACTCGCATCTGTCTTCTCTCATATACCTATCTCTGCTGCCGTAGGAGGAGGGATCACAGCCGCTCAACCTGTCTGCTCGGCCAAAGATGACAGACCTGGTGAAATGCCCCACATCGCCGACACAAAACCTGTTCCTCGGCAGTAAAAGCAGCCCCAACAGTCTCCTCGGCAAGGGTGGCATTCCCAGCACACTTGGAGGCCTGGGCCGGGCATCATCTCTTGGTAAGACCTTTACCTCACAAACAAGATCCCACACGTGCATATTTACTCTATCACTCACATCCAGGGAGACCACATTGAAAGGTTTAGGGACTTCATATCTCACTGTCAAGATGCCGGGTGAAGTTGTTTTCTCTCTTTTGGGAAGTGTGTGTTCCAGTGCACTCACTCTGCTGTGTGTGTGTGTGTGTGTGTTTAGATATTCTGTCCAGCCTAAACTCCACCGCGCTGTTCGGGGACCAGGACACAGTGATGAAGGCCATACAGGAGGCTCGGAAAATGAGGGAGCAGATCCAGAGGGAACAGCTGCAGATTCACCAGCAGGGCATGGAGGCAAAGCTGTCCGCACTCAACTCCGTGGGCCTCAACAACTGCAGAGCTGACAAGGTTAGAACTACTATCATATAGTCGGTCTCTTTTTACCCCTGATTCAGGCCTTCTTCATTGCAAGCTTTTTCCATAAAGCAAGACAAAATGATGAGAAGTTACCACGAGCGCTTTGCTCTCCTTGCAAGTAGTGGAGGAAAGAAAGTGGAACATGATGATTTTGATATAGCAGTAATTCTTAAGGCTAACATTTTTATTTAATCCCTGTCCAGGGTGGTCGTACTGATAAGAGCTGGCATAGTTCAGTGGTTACATGTGTGTTAAGTCAAATTAGTATGAATATGGCATTTGTGTGTGCGTGTTTAGAGGGCTTGCGTTGTTGATGTTGGTGTGAGGGCCGTGACAGGCCATGGCGCTGCCCGGTGCGGGTTAAGAAGACTATGAAGTCTATGCCCAATTAAAGCAGACTTGCAGCCCTCTCCGTCCCCTGACACGGGATGGGGCTGCTTTGTACCAGGAGCACACACTCCCAGGGATTCCCTTTAAAAATATCTTCAATCGATGAGTCAATCAAGGAGAGAAAAAAGCTGTCCTCCTCTCTTCAGCTTGATGCCATGTTGCCAGTTGGCTGTGAGGAGCAGGCAGGAACTGGGAGCGACGCTCATTAATATTTCAGCACCTGACACTTTCAACCAACAGCCTCAACTAGGTCAATGTATATGTAAAAAAGTCAATGAATATCTATTTTGATTTCCCTCTAATTTGGTGTTTGGAAGAGATCACTGTCTATGCAGGTGGCAATCAACTATACTCTTACTGAGGTGAAGCAAATAAATTGGTGCAGCCCAGGACACAGATGCAGTGCACTTAGCCCTCACCAATTCAAACAAGAGAGGTCTTTACAATAATCAATAATCATCCATTATCACATGTTGTGCTGACGAACAGTCATACATATACCATGTCACAATGTCACCCTGAAAGCAAACAGGCCTTTTTATCTGTATTTAGTACACTAGAGCAGGTACAGCTGCCTCCCTACATCCTAAATAAGGTGAGCCTGTGGTCAGCCAAGCAGCTGAATCTGCCATGATATGAAAGCAGTAACTGAACAATGCCTGTAAAGAGCAATTTTCAACAGGCAGCACATAACTAGATACATTGTCCTTAGTAGGAAGAGCTTAACCATTTTTTGACTCCCTGCTTAGTCTTTTGTATATACGATTTAGTTTTGTTTTCTCTACATTTTTGAGTTGTCTGTTGAACATATTGTAAAGCGATCATCACAGAGGAGGAAAATACTTTTTCTCTTGTTTTCTGGAGATCTTCTGCTTGAAATACTCAGTCACTCCACACCTGTAATCTACCTTTTGTGTGTGTTTGCCACCTGAGGAGAGGGAGAGTGTGTTTTAAGAAAGCAAGACAGAAACAGAAAGAGAGAGAGAGATTGTGTGTGTGTGTGTGTGTGTGTGTGTGTGTGTGTGTGTGTGTGTGTGTGTGTGTGTGTGTGTGTGTGTGTGTGTGTGTGTGTGTGTGTGTGTGTGTGTGTGTGTGTGTGTGTGTGTGTGTGTGTGTGTGTGTGTGTGTGTGTGTGTGTGTGTGTGTGTGTGTGTGTGTCCATATGTGTTTGGGGTGGCAGTTTAAGGTAATTTGAGTTAGGGATAAAAAGACCAAACATTGAAGTACTATAAAAAAAAAAATATATAGTACAGCAATAGGATTATAGAATTTAAAATACAAACAAAAATGCTACAAAATAGAGCATGTTAAAGAGAAAAAATGCATCTTAAGTTATTCAGGCTTCCACACATATCTCTGTTTTCATTACAACATCATTTATTGTCTTGCTGAATGACACCTTAACCGAGCTCCTGCTTGACTCTCCGGCTCGTGCAAATCATAGTGAGATATCGCCACCTCTTAGTTTCAGTGACACTGGCCCTATTAGGACGGTGTGAAATGAGAGGCACGCTTTATCAAGTCAGCTAAAAGAATTGCCCCATCATCTTCATCCTTCGGCTGCAATAAAGAACAGTAAGCTGTAATTCAGCAGTGAAACGAGAGGGAAGGAGAGAGAGTCTTTTGCTGATACAAGCCTACAAACTAGAAAGGTTTGAATGCCCCTGATAAAATCTTTCACTTTGGTCAGTTTCAGAATATTAATATTTCAAGAAAGCGCCTCACCTGACATAAATATGGTGTGGGCCTTTAATAGCTCCCCCCTCCCGGTTTCTTGTTTGGAAGTTTATCATAAAGAGGGCTTACATGGAGAAGAATCTGGAAAGGTAACATAAATGGGATTAAGGAGAGGTTAAGATCATCCAGCGTGTCTGTTAGAGGGGGATATTAAATATTGATTTATCCCACTGTAATGACCGGCCAGAGGAGTGGGTCTAAGTGCTGCTTACGGATGGATCAATTCATCTTTTCGTTAAAAGTGTGTCTGAACAGTACAATGCATTCCTCCCTAACCTTTATCACTGTGACTCTAGTTCCTTCTCCCTCCCTGGCCATTGACCTAGGAGAACATGGTGTAGATCAGACGCTCTGTTCTACAGTATACAAGCCTTTAACCTCAGGACATGTAAAATATTCATGCATTACAGGAGCAGATTTCTTTCTAGTCTTTTTATTTGCCTGTTTTTACTATATCCCATCAGTACAATAAAACCTTTTACAACGTTTTCTACAATTTACCTTTTTTAAATATTTATCTAACGGTATTATTGTCTGCAGAGGGCAATTACTTTGTTCCATTATTTACCATCTCGTCCTCACCCAGCGGAGGCTTTTACCTAGAATGTAGCAGTATGCCTACAGGTCAAATACAGTACATCTGAATCCATTTGTAACCATTTGAATTGTTTCCCTCTATTATGCACTGTAGCTATTACTGGACACGCTGTTTTTCAGGGTCACGGGTGAATAAATATCAAGCATCTGTATCTGTGTACGTTTTCACTCAGAACCATCGTCTTGTCATCAACATTTAACTGGAATAGACTGCCATTAGATCAGCTACCTAGTACTATTTGCTGATAAATATTCATTTTCGCAGCAGATACAAATCATAATTTATCGAAAAATGCAAACAACACCTTCAAATTGATTGTTCTGATACAAAATTACCTTTGCCCATGTTCGCCCTCCATGTGTTCATACAGTATATCCTCTCTCATATCAAAACAATATAAGTTTAATTGGGGTATAAGGTATGACAGATTCCGAAGCTAATGCATCATTTCCTCTTACTTTAGCTCCATTATACATTGCATATGTGATGCCCTGGAGGTTGTGTGAGATAAAATATATTCCTCTGCTGACATGTCCCTAACTGGAATCAAAAGGTGAAAGGCCAGTGTATTAACCTATTGAACTGCCCTTTTCTGCCCCACAACACCTCCCCTCCTCAGTATTGATGACTACAATTGTCCATTTGCCATGTCCCAAAGCTCAGCCTGTAAATATTCAAATGGGGCTTACACTGGTGCTCCACAAAATCCAGACTCCTAACCAATTGGTTATAGTGGTTCTACTAGTTCCTTCTTTAGGTGTGTGTGTGTGTGTGTGTGTGTGTGTGTGTGTGTGTGTGTGTGTGTGTGTGTGTGTGTGTGTGTGTGTGTGTGTGTGTGTGTGTGTGTGTGTGCGTGTGTGTGTGTGTGTGTGTGTGTGTGTGTGTGTGTGTGTGTGTGTGTGTGTGTGTGTGTGTGTGTTGCCAGGGCTCTTTTCAGGCAAAGCCCTCACAAAGACTTTGAATATAATCTTGTCTGGTGTGCAGCCCTGGAAGCAATTTTCTGCTCCTTTTCGACTGCTGTCTTGGAAATTGCAATCCAAGGCATTTTGGCTGCAATGTAAATCCTTGGCATACAAGGGTTTGCCCATCCAAATTAGATTATGCTCAGCTCCCAGACACTGGCTGTAGCCAGCAAGAGCTATTGTGAAGATTGCTTACATTAATGCTTTGTCCAATTGTTCATAAAAATAGTGTATGACTCTGATAATATGTTCCTGTGCATAAGTGTGAGTGTGTGTGTGTGTGTGTGTGTGTGTGTGTGTGTGTGTGTGTGTGTGTGTGTGTGTGTGTGTGTGTGTGTGTGTGTGTGTGTGTGTGTGTGTGTGTGTGTGTGTGTGTGTGTGTGTGTGTGTGTGTGTGTGTGTGTGTGTGTGTGTGTGTGTGTGTGTGTCTTGTGGCTCCTATCCCAGGTCAGGTCCTTAGCTCTGTCTCGCCTCTTCCCCAGAAAGACATCAAGACTGCATCTTGGAAGGGTCATTTGGCAGTGGTGGCTCCATTATTTTCTCCACTTGTCATTTTACATGGTGAATTTCTGGCCTGCTGCAGTCACACAAAAATTCTGCTGGCCCCCGTGGCTAAGACCTGTGATACTGCACTAACCACAAGGCACACACAACAAAGGACGAGGAAAAGAATAGGCCACAAAGGACCATTTATAGTCTATGGTATTGTTGCAGTAGGAACATAATAGCTCCAGTGTCCAAAAAGTCTTGAGGTTTTGTCCATATGTGAAAGGGCTTTTGGTAATGCTGCTGTTACCAATGTCCTGCTGTTTGCAACCTGGAGGGTTTGATAAGGCAGGAGATTTCAGCCCAATTTAACATTCCCTGAGGACACAGTGAACACTTCTGGATCATTGAGGACAGGAAATCAGTAAAATACATGATGTCAAAACTAAAATAATCCCAGCAGAGAGAAAGGAAAAACATAAGAACTGAACTGTGTCAGAAAGTTTAAATAGTTATCTATGACACGCCAAAAAAGATGACCTTGTCAATACGGTTATTTTGCACATAATATGTATGATATACTAATGGTAATCGCAACATGTCCCAAAGGAGACAAATAAACACAAATCCAATTGTTTGGACTGAATGCACTTTTTAAATTGACACTGAAAGGTCACATTTTGTGGGTTTGACTTGTTTCCCCTTCCAAAAAAACCCCCATCTTTAATGATAATAGCATACCCTTTTATTAAAAAAACAATAAACATTGAATTGGCACAAAGCCAAGAATAGGGTTACTTCAGGTTTTTTTTCAAAGTGTAAGCTTCTTAATTTAATTAAAGGCCTTTACCCCCCTCTGTTTTAAACAAATGAGGTGATGCCCTGGCAGTACAAATGGGGCTGGAATAGCTGCCATCTCTGCACTGGGTGATGTTGAGGACGACTACTAGAGCAGATGCCAGTCTTTTGTGGCTGCTACTGTTGATTCTGCTGCTGCCTGCATTAGTCCTAGCAAAGGGAGAGCTTGGGTAAAAAGAGAGCAACAGTCTGCATGAAAGGAACTGTGGGTTTACCGCATGGCTGGATGTACTTAACATTTAAATGGTTCAAAACTAGCAAAAAACTACTGGAAAGCTGCAGACTTATAAATAACTTTGCAACTGGTTACAAAAAAAATACAAAACAGATGAGGCGCAGAGCTGCGAGGAGCTGTAGCCATGTTAAAGTGCAGTCTTTGTCTCCTTCAGGGCTGGGACAGATTGTTGAGGGCTTAAGTCTGAGACCCTCAGAGAGAAGATTCTGAGGGTCTCAGACCACAGTGATGACTGACACTTGATACATAAAGCCCTGTATTGTGGTCAGAGAGCCATTGCCTTAAACTTGCCACATACCAGGTGTGTGATATAACCAGAGCCAGTCCAGCACAATAACACACATAAGTGACTGTTTAGGGTCCTGCAGCTGTTTAAGGTTCTACATTTTAAACATGTGCAATCACATACACTCCACTATGAGGGAAACATGGATACGATTTCACCAATAGTTTAGAAATCTTGGAAAGTACAGTAGTTACTGCTTTCAAATGTCAGAGAAAGGGCTTAACGTGTAATTGTCTGTATATACAGTACATATACATACAGCCAAACAAGAACCAGACTATTATATGACTTCATGTTGGCAACTGGTAAGGATCAAAACGTGTCATGCTTGCCAGCTGCTTGAAAGATGTTAAGCAGTTTTCTCTTTAAATAATCATTCTGATGGCAACATGTTTTGGCGAGCAAACATGCCAACTTAATCTGTGCTTGTATAGTCTAGTTTACCTTTTCACTTTTTCAAAGTGGTGTCAGACCTTTGGCACTCAAAATCACTCACACAATTGTTTTAATACTGTAAAATAAAACAAACTAAAGTTTTTTTTATTCATAGCCCAAAGCCTAGTCATAAAACATGAAACAAGACCTAGTATCTATTCTTATCATAAACATTTGGGATTTAGAAAAGGACCACATTTGTTTTAATAAATGTTTTCACTACCAAAAACCATTGATGCTATCCATTTTGATGTGGTAAACAGTGCATTATTTCACTAATGGTGTTTACTAAACATTTTTAAAATCATCCAGATAAAGACAGTTGTAATGTTGCTTTACCCCACCAAACTAAATTAGCGGCCTTCACAAAACTCTCCGCTGAACACCACAGTCCACTTTACTAATCTCTGTGATATTTTATCTTCTCTGTGTACAATCTCAGGCCATATGGATTTGCCTATTGCCTAGAGCTATTTACAAAAGAGAGAGTGAAGGAGTGTCAGGATTGACAACTTGTTGCCTAAATATAGGGCAGGAGCAGGCACAATGCATAGGGCCGTCCGCCACCCGCCTCTGCCCAGAATACACCCTGTGGGCAGAGCAGCAGGCCTCCGGCACATGTTCTGCGGCCGGCCAGATTAAAGCTTTCTTTACAGCATTGACAAGGGCTCTTTTGGGTTCCCTCGCACAAGAAGTTGAGAACACTCTGCTATTTCTCTCTCTTCACCAGTGACTCACCACTACACTGTTAGCCATGTGCAACTGAACAAAATGCATCTGTTACCAAACTTTAAAGACAAAAGACTGCACACGCAGGGCAGATGAGATTATTGTGGGTGGCAGTTTCCACTACAGCTCAGAGTGCATTGCTATAATTTTAGTTGTGGGATGGAGAGCTGCATACTGAAGTCATTTGAGGGTAGGGATGCGGTTATGGTTGGAACTGGAGGAAGACAAATGTGTAGAGTAACTTCTTTTGTTTCCTGTCTCTTTATCTTTACCTCTTCACAGCAGCATGAGTTCTCTCGTTGTTTTGTGTTCAAAGTCTTTCATCAGCCAAATTCTCTCCCTCTCTCTCTCTATCGGTTGGATGGCCAGCTTCCCAAGATACTGCATGTCCTTTGCTACTTCTCTGTCAGAGTGATCAGTAAAAATTTAATGACACTATAAAATAATAAAAGTGCCATTAATTTATCACAGCACTTGATGCGTGGGCAGTAAAGAAGCATTAGTTCACTGAATATTTTCAAGCCTTAAAACAAAACCCTGATGCCGTGCAGATAAATGATGGCCCTAATTTCAACTATAAGTCTAATTTGCAGATATAAATTACCAAACGTATAACCAATAAGTATATTAAGCCCAGTATATAAAATGGTATGAAAATGTGTGTTACCATATTGCACATAATAGCTGAGCTAATTAATATTAGACTAACACACAAGGAAGGAATACTTAAGGAAGTAAAAACCCCTTTAAATCAAGAATTTCAAATGCTGGCTTGTATTCATTATACAGTTAATTTCTATATTACCATATAAATATTCTCTTTATGTCAAAGCTACCTTGAAAAATCCTCAAACAAGAGCCTCATTCAGTCTTGCTCCCAGCTGTCTAATGTGATGATGTTCACTTATCATATGACTTTGTGCGGTGGAAAAGGAGTTCAACACTGAGCTAGTTATTAATGAAACCTAATGATGGATGGGCCCTGTTCTCTCTCCTTCTCAACCCAACATGATGCTTAATGATCATGAGTTTATAAAAGGACTTGATTGATCAGGGGGGACCAACGAAGCGCAGAAGAGGGACGAGATGACTACTTTATTACAGAAATACAGTCCCCATGAACACTGTGTCTTCCTAGTGCACTGTCCAAGTAGCATCTGAAGCAGCAACATTGCCCATCCAGCTAATCGCACATCAGTCACTTTGTCATCGCGCTGCTAGCTTCTTTCATTAAGAGCAATAATGTGGCTGGATGATGAATACAGCTCCGTGTATGTGTTTCTTTACGCAGAATGTGACACGGAGAGAGGCACCACACTCTATCTTCTCTTTACAAAGCGTCCTCTTGCCCAGCAGGGACCACCACATATGTCATAATTAGAAAACACTTAAGTAAGCAAAGGGCCATCAGATAGACAGGCTCTAATCACAGGCCATAAGCAGGTAGTGGTTAATTGTATATCAGAATCACTCAGCTGGCCATAAATAATGACTGCTCCTTCAAGTATGATGGTTAATTGCAGTGCTCTTATTGTCTGCCGCAGGCCTTTCTTTTGAGGAATAGTTCTTGAATAAAGAAAAGCATCAGGAAAATCAAAATACTGTGAAAAGCCTCAAATGGACTTCAAACATCTTCATCCTTCATCTTGTCATCTTTTTCAAACCCTCAAGAGAAAATAATGACAGAGATTTCTTAATAGTTTTCTTTTTCAAATGTGTTGTAATTACTGATGGCTGTTGTTGCCAGCATGATTTAATTTGTCAGGAAAAGACAAAATAAATAAATCGAATGCTGTCACTAAAATTCATATTTTCACTTAGTTATATCGTCCGAATTTTAATTTGATGTTTTACCTTCACTATTAGTAGGAGGGGAGGGTGGGGTCCCATTGGGCAAAGAGTGAAATAACAACAAATGGTGCAATGCATTACTAAGAAGGGGCTAAAAGATGTATGTGTGTGTTGGCGTGAGTGGCAGGGGAGCTGTTAGTATTGTGTGGGGACTTTACCTGAGGATGTGTTTGTGCTGCCTGTGATAGGCATGTTTAGAAAAGAAAGAGGCAGAGGTCAGTGCAGACATTACATCTTTGGCAGAGATTGAACGCTCACCCTGGGAGTAAAACAAATGCTTTTTTTCCTGAATGGTGGCAACATGCCTGCTTTTAGTGTCATCCAGGCAAAAACCTGGGGGGGGGGGGATTATTTGTATCATGCAGAGTCAAAGTGTCCATCTCCTAGTTGAGTCTTTAGAGAGGAAGACAGCCCTTTGCTAATGCCCTGTGTATTCACTGGAGAAGTAGGTCATTCAACAATGGAGCCAGCAGCAGTCGGCACTCTCCCCTTGCATAATACATTAAGTGTAATGTGCAGCAACTATTCAGAGGCCCCCCGAAAGCTGTTATTTTATTCTGTAAATGCACACGGACATGACATTTAATATTGTCACAGAGCGCTGAATGACAGGGTTTCATTGTGCGTCAAGTACAACATGATGCCAAGTTTAATCTGAGCACAAAGCGACATGACAAACGAGAAAACACGGTGTGTTCTCTAAAGCATGAACTCTGAATAAATGATGGGCGCTGAGCTTTGGGCACTGTAGACTGGAAGGGAGGATGTAAGGAGAAGATTACAGAGGAAAATCTGAGCACTGCAAAGAGGGCCACGGCCCCATTGTGTGCTTCGGATCACAAAGTATCCTTCTGTAAATCTATTTACAGCACCCCTGGCCCTCACTGTCTCTCTGCCTCCTGTCATCCATTATAGCAGCTGCTGAATAGAGAGATGAGAGAGGAAAAAGCTACATCTAGCTCATGTCAAAAGAGCAGCTCTTCAAAAGAACCTCCATTTACCAAAGACACTTTTTTCTTTTCAAATGTTCAGATTCCTGATGGGGTTATTTTTACAATTCTATCACTGCATGTCCTTGTTCGTGTACCTGACTGTTTGTGTTTCCCTGCAGGAGAGGGCACATTTTGAGAGCCTTGGGCACCACCTCGGAAAGCTGGGTGAGGAAGGGAAGATCGGCCATAGAGTTATTGACCTCACCAGGCCAGAAGATCTCGAAGGTAAGGCCCCATTTTGTTTTTTCTCTTATTTTGTTTTTCATGCACATAATAGAAATAGACGGCTGGTTCATCAGATGATTTTATGTTTATATGTTCCGTTGTAATCCATAAAAACAAGCTTAAGACTTGACAAAGTTCAGTGAGTTCTTTATAAAATAATGCAAAAGGAGTCTTGATTTCTTATAAAGCCTGCTACTCCATGTGGCCTTGTGTCTGAGTTATACATGGAAGAGAGACCGGGTGTGTGCAAACATGTGCGTATGTGTGAGGAAGATGTGGGGGTTGGGGTGAATACCGTTTGAAAGGGGCCATGGCGCCGAGTTTTCACAGGTAGGTGAGCGAAGGACAAGGGTTCCTGAGGACAAAGCTGGCTTTTCTCCAAGCTCGGCTCCTGTTGCTGTTGTGCTTGTTTGAGGTCCTGGGCACAAGGGTGTAAATTCATGTTGCACCAGCGTGACAAAGCGTCATCTGCCTTTGTGGCGCTGGTTTCTACACAGGAGCAAGGAGTAACTCAGTGCACCAATGTTTGTCCGACATAAATATTTGTGGTAGTTTCCATGGCACTTCAGAATGTGAGCAAAGAAGAAAATGCTTTCGGACTCATCTTTGATGCCTCAAAGAGTCTCAAGGCAGGAGGATAGATATTTCTCAGGACAATGTAACCCATCGTCATCTTTAAATAGCATCTCAGACACATTTCCCGTCAAATTTAGAAAGAAAATCCCCTTCATAATTAGTTCTCATGGACAGAACAATATTTTCTACTCCTAAAAATGTTTTACCAACTACAAAGCAAATGTTTAATTTCACATCACACCCAGTTTTGAGGTGCATTTAGTGGATTTATTGACATGTTTCCCATGTAAGCCACAGCAGCAGATCCCATCCCTCCCGTCTGACTCCTCGGACAGATGTGCTTCCAGTGCTCATTCTCCCAGTGGGAATCTTCTCTCTGTGGCTACTGTGGAGTCGGGACTGAAACAGAGCACACACCAGGGCAGTTGTGTCCTTTTAAGTCCTGCACAGGGCTGAGGGAAAGACTTGCGCCAGACGCCTCACATCAGTGTTCCCAGTGGGCTATGGATTAGGAGCAAACAGAGGTTAGAGGAGAGGAGAGGTCCTCTTCCCAGGGGGGGATGGCTGGGAGCCAGGGCAGCACACATAACTTAAAACACACATTTTCTTCTTTTCACCACAAATATATCTGTCTGCTTCACCAACAGGAAAACACATATGGGTGAATGATGTGAAGCAGGGTTTTATGATGTGAACCACAAAGTGTTTACTCTTCTGAGAAAATGTTTACTTTTGAATTTCTTGTTGTGAGGCTTTTCTGCTCCATGCACCAATCAAGGCTTGGCTCCCTGTCATACCTTGACATATAGAAACATAGAGTACCCGTCTAGTTGCAGCTTTTTTGTTTTCTTGCTCCTATTTGCTGACTACATGTCAAAGGTCATGCAGATGTCAGGGTTTAAACTTGGCTAAATCTGGTTGACAAGTTAATTAAAATGTGAACTGAACTCAGCCCATTTTAATCCAGATATGTATTCTGACCTCCAAATCAATTTAAATTGAATACACATAAATAATTATAAATCTATTAAAAACCAAAGGCACAAATGTAATTGCTTTCAGGGGCAATTTGGATACAAAATAAGGGGATCTCATTTTAAACCTCCTCTGTATGTCTTCACACTTTTCATCAGTATTTCAGAACACACTGGATATATTTTACTGAAAACGGAAAATTACTGGGTGTACCTCCCAGCCCTTACATGGGGTGTGAAAGCCCCTTGGTGTGTAGCAGCTTCTCCTCCAGAACAGAGAGGCCACATTGAGTAGACGCAGTGTGTACAGCGGACCTCTGTCATCACGGCAGTTCACAGAAAGCTTTAGGTTTCTTAAGCTAATATTTGCAAAACATGCAGCAACCTAACGACTTGGGGAAATCTGGCAAAGGAATGGAAATAGATACGATTTCCTTTTTTTACAAAGCCACGAGCCACACGCATGATCCCACGGCAAATTCATTAGGTATTTTTAAGCTCTGAAGAAAACATTACAAAATACCACAAAGGCCTCAGCCCGTCAAGGCCCTTTGTTCATTGGCATATGGCAGTATAGAGTTGCTGTGTAGCTGAGGTTTTGTGTTTGTCTAAACCGCCCCCATCACTGAGAGTCCACAGAGAACAAAGAGGTTGTTGAGAGATTTGTGGAGGCAGGAAACAGAATTAATCTAAACGCCCAGTGTGATGATATCAACCGTAGAGTGAGAAAAGATGGGGCTTTAGCCAAGCACTGACTAACAATGTCCTGATGGAATAGGATGAGAAGAACAGTAGTGTTGCATTGTTGTGACATTGATGGGTTTCTTTACATCCGTAGCTCAGAGCTGTTATGAAGTTTTATGTTAGTTGATTGTGAGGTTTTTGTTGTTGTTTTTCTTCCCCTGTGAGGCCGTGGGAATTGAGCACTGGCTTTTATTGCTGAGGAATTTTCCTAGAAGAAAGCTCAGATGAGGAGGCTCAGACATAATGATTTATCAAGTGACAACAACAATAGCTGAATAGGTCCGGCAATCAAAGGAAAGTTCTGTTTTGAAGTTGAAAAATTCCAATTTACCCCCAATAGGAAACATTCTCTGTTTGTGAAAGATTAGATTCCAATTGTAGGCTAACTGCATATGTAGTAAAAGCAATAAAAGCATTAGACTACAAGTTGTAACATGTAAGCTATTTGTTCTCAAGTTCCCGGGTGCACGCAAACACACACACACACTCGCAAACTTAAATCATCCTCACTAAACAAAAATGATTGATATGTTATAAAAGGGCTTATATCACTTGGAATTTCTAATGGTTTAATTAGCTTGCTATGAGCTCAGGCTAGAACAGTGGCACTGAGCGCTGTCTCCTGTCTGTCCATACACATTCATCTTGCCTGATCCTGCTCTGAGGGAGAGGCTCTATTGTCAGTAGTAAATGCCTTCAGTCAGAGGTGTTACATTTGATCCCAACAGGGAGGGCTTGGCAGGTTTGCGTGATTGTTGCCTGCTCAGTGAGGCTCATCCTCTCAGCGGATTCCTGGGTGACATTATGTGTCTGCCCGCAGAACAAAGATGAGTAAGGAGGAGCAAAGAGGGAGGAGAGGGGACGCCGAGGCAGTGCTACTCTGTGGCTCGAGTCTGAGCCTGTAGCTCACAGGTGTCAGAGGCTTCTGGGCCTCTCTACAGTCTTTATTTCTCTTCCTTTGCTTCATCCATAGCAGCTTAGCCTTCTCCAATTTTGTATTTTTATACCCACCCACCCCCCACACACACACAATCATTCTTTCTCACTGTAATTCATGCTGCTCATCTGCAGTGTTTCCAGGAGAGACAAATTAAAAAGGGGATTCTCATATCGCTCTGTCACACTTGAGCTGCGTGCCTCATGAATCACAATAAATTCTATTAAGCAGCACTCCCTCTCTTGCGCTCCTTTCCCCAGCTACCACCCAGGGGGCCTGCCCATGTCACTGGTAAACATCTGTGTTTATTTACACAATCACACACCTAACTAACTAATTCCTAAATGTCCTCCACCTCCTGGAAAAAAAAATGTTAATGCTCATTTGCAGAGTGTCAGACCAGTGTCATGATTTTTAATAAATAGACAGAAACAACGTAGCAGTAAATTGCATGTTGCAGCTTCTAGGGATTTTCTGAGACTGACTGCTAATGTGAAAAATGCCTCTGATTAAGTTATATATCATATTGCAGGGGATTGAATAAGGGGCTAAATGTATCTACCTGTTAAACATTGGATGGTCTTATATTATAGAAAGCCAGTCTCCCAGCTCTGTACTGCAATTTGTACTTTAATCAGAGACGTTGCAGTGACAACTTTGATATCATTTCAGGTCAAAGGTCAAACCTTGTTAGGATATTATTTCTCCCAAGGCAGCCTTAAATCTTCATCACAGTGTTCTTTACAAATCGAGGACCACACTACCTGCCTCGGTGCAGCTGAAGATGATGTAACACTGCTGTTGTTCATTTCAACGGCTTTTTGTAGCATCAGACAGGCACTTTTCTATGTGCCATCATGTGAGAAAAAAACCATGCCTCATCTGGTTTCCCTCCAATGAACCAAGTCACGTGGCTGGTTTCCTGGCTAACTATGGATGTGGCACTAGCTGATGGCAGGTGCTTGTTTTGTACCCCGCTCTGTAAGAAGCTCACCTCTGCCCGTATGCATGCACACCAGTATATAAATTGCTGAATCAGTGTCAGTGATAGAGTAATGGCACGGGAGGCATCGTAAATTACAGCAAGCGATCCCGGGGCGCAGACACTGGCTGTCGTGTCTGAGTGAGCGCTGCGCTCCTGAGCTAATGAATACCTTCATCTGGCCCCGGCAGTCAGCAGATTGCCCCGCGTTGATGGATACTGTCAGCCCTCCGCCACACCACATTTCATTGCACAATAAACATGGTTGTCAAAACCAAACAAAGTGAAATCAATTCATCCTGTACAGTGAGTGCATGCTAAATGAAATTAACGTACTGTGGGGTTCGGTGGCAGCAGAGGTAGTGTATTATTTCTGAATTCATGATGGCTTTAGGGCCTATAGAGGTTCTACAGTATGTGGTAAAAGCAAACAGACACAACTAGAGATACTGCTCACAGAGTTTGAAGAACTGTCAATGAGAGTGACTGAAAACACCTCCTCAATGTTCTGATGTATTATCAGGGCGTGTGTTTTTCAACTGAGATTATAAAGAAAGGCAAGGCTTTTGCAGATTAATCATCCTTTCAAAGATTATTATTTGAAATGGAAAAAAAAACAGGAAATAGTTCTTTGGTCAAAATATGCAATTCACTATTTAGTAAGAAATCTAATTTTGGAAATGTAATTATTTTTTAAAATAATAAATTGTTATCATTATTTTACTGATGTTTTTCATTTACCACCTTTAATGTAGGCACATCTATATATTTATTTAATATATTATTTGTATTTACTAGTTATTAATATTATTATTATTTAATTGTAACTCTTAACTTCCTTTAGACAGAACTGGAGCTATAAGAGCTGAATCGTTTGGGCAGCAACTTGTGCAGAGTCAAAATGTGAAAACACATCTTTCACATGGTCTGTCAGAAAAACAAACTCCCGGATCATAAATGTGTTTGTTTGACTGATGAACATGAGCTGGTGAAAAATGATTAAGGGTCCATGGTCCTGAGTGAAACGTGGGCAGTGAGACCTAAAACATTCTCTGTGAACACAAACCAAACTTCCACCACACTTTCACCACCACTATGGAAGTTGCTCTGTGTTGCTTCGGTACATATTTGTCTCTAAATATATTGCCTTTTCACTTATTGACTCCTATTATAATTTTGAAAAGAAGACACACTTACCGAAGTGAGACATTCAAACTCTTGAGGCTGAAAATGGTGCAGCAGCATTTCCCGTGATTAGAGTAAAGCGAGGTTTCTGTGGATTTGGAATTAATGTCTCTGCAAAGCCCTCCATTACTCATTAAGAGTTTGATTTTGTTTATCAACTGAAATAATAATAGAAATCAAACCCCAGGTAACGTGTGCCAAGGCTGCAAGTGGAATGGTCTAATGAGAAGGCTTCACATGTGGATGATGAAATATGCATGAGTCATCTCAAGCTTTCTTTTCCAGATTTGAGATCATTAAAGATGTATCGTAACATATGGAAGGCTTTTTTTGTCTTATTTTTCAAGCCTTGTTTATCAACATGTTTTTGTTTGTTTAAATATTCATACTGTTTTTATTTAATTCTTTCACATCTTACATATAAAAGGAAGCAAATGCGCAAACAGAAATCATTATCAATCTGATGTACAGTTTAATACTGAGAGAAACTCTCTTATGCTGATTGTGAATGCCCTGATTGAGAAACAGCACTTTGCAGAATCGGCACAGTCTCTCATCGCAAATATGGAGATAGAGACTAAGAGAAAAGAAGGAAGGAAAAAAGAGGAAAATAGTTACCCAGGAAGGAGAGGATGAGGAATGGAGGGCTTGAATTTATTTGTTCATATGTTAAAATGTAAAAACAATTTAGACTGCCTCCAGTCGCTTATTTGTTATTTATGTTGGCATTTTTGCACTTTTAATGGACACTTGAAAAGTATGTGTTTGAGTAGAGGGTTAAAACATTTGCAGAATTGTTTTGAACTTCAATTGAAGTCCATGGTTTTCTTATTTTGGTTTTGGATAAACCTGATTATAAGTTAAAAAGCTCCTTCTTAAACTGACATTCATTGTGTCACTTTTATAGCACATAACATATCAAGTCAAGGCAGAAACTCCACTCAATATAAAAGGCTACCCTCTGAACCCCAGCCCTCATCAGAAACAATGCCCATGATGTTGACAGTATGAAGGCGAGTTTGAACATTTCAAGGTTCTTTATTTGTCATACATAGCTATATAGCTATGAATATTTGTCATACATAGCTATATAGCTACAGAGTAGTTATGTCGATGAACATCTTAGGTCACAGGCTTCTCCAACAGTGCAACACAATAATACAGAAAAACAGAAAAATATAGTGCAAGTAAATATTAAAAAGTAAATACAAAAAGAAAAATAGTTTTAAAAAAGTGAAGTAGTGAAATAAGAGTCTATATGCAAGCTATTGGAATGATATATTAGACAAATAGGTAAATAATTACTAAGTAATAGATGAATGTTATGGATGTTGTTACAACAGTTCAGGTGTTAACAGTCTTATTGCCTGTGGGATGAAACTGTCTCTGAATCTGGTGGTTTTTGTCCCGATGCTGCGGTGCCGCCTGCCAGACAGCAGCAGACTGAACAGTTTGTGGCTGAGGTGATGGGGGTCTTTTATAATCCGGAGGGATTTCTTCCTGAGCCGCTGGGAGTATAGGTCCTCCATGGATGGCAGCTCCGTCCTGGTGATGTTCTGTGCAGTTTTCACCACCCTCTGTAAAGCCTTACGATTGAGGGCGGTGCAGCTACCGTACCAGGCCGTGATGCAGCCAGTCAGGATACTCTCTATGGTGCACCTATTTGTGAGTTCAGGGAAGTAAGTCAACCCTTTTCTTGTTTGCCAACAGGAGGTGCTGGATCTACTGAAGCACGAGTCTTCAGAGAAGCTCGAGGAAGGAACAACAACGAGCCCCACATTAAAAGGCCAATGAATGCATTCATGGTGTGGGCCAAGGATGAGAGGCGCAAGATCCTCCAGGCCTTCCCCGACATGCACAACTCCAACATAAGCAAGATTTTGGGTAAGACTTTTAAATGGAATACAAGTTCTTCCAGCATATATTAAGGGTACCACTCTTCTAAAAAAGCATAACTGCCACTGGAAAAGGACAGACAAATGATCTTTGTAATGCTTTAGAGCTTATCCCAGTTTTAGTTCTACTCCAGCTACACAGAAGAACTTAACTCTTTGGCTGTTGACAAAAGTGATGGACTTGCTAACCCTAACCCTAACGGTTAAAACAAGTTATTTCATTCAAACTGCAGTGGTAAATAACTTGTTTTTTACGATTTTGTTAATCGATCTTCCGGTTACAGTTTCCAGACCTAGCATTTTTTTATATTTAAATCCATGGGGTTGATTGCTCAAAGTAAGGTTAATTTGACAAAGTACATCTGAAGGAGCAGTGTGTGTTATCTCATAGGCCACTGTGCATCAGGTCTCCACAGCCTACAGATGGATTTATAGCCCATCACTAGCATAAGTGTTTGTCATGAAAAATGACAGAGGCTAAATGGGTCTCGTCCCCTCAGCATTGGAGTCCATACATCATAGCTGTTAAAAGTGCTGTCATCCCGCCCCTAGTAGGACACTTCAAAGAGCAGCAATATTTACTACACTAGCTTGTTGTTCCTTACTGTTTGACTTTGAAGGACGTCTTGTGTCTCAAACAATGTGCATGTGCAGGGCTATCAATAGGTTGAACGAATGATAAATTGTGATTTTGCTCGAAAACTTCTTAGATACAGATCAGTGTTAGCCTTGACCAAATATCTAAAATGTAAGTATGTATGTCCCTATATGACACCATTTTAGGATATAATGGGTAACTCTTTAATAATTATCAAGCTGCTTTATTCCACTGCTTGTGTTTAAATACTTACATTTGATTTTACTTTGTTGTGTAGGTTCCCGATGGAAGTCCATGACTAACCAGGATAAGCAGCCATTCTATGAAGAGCAGGCCCGTCTGAGTAAGCAACACCTAGAGAAGTACCCAAACTACAAGTACAAGCCACGGCCTAAGAGGACCTGCATCATCGATGGAAAAAAACTCCGCATTGGAGAGTACAAGCAGATGATGCGTTCACGGCGACAAGAAATGAGGCAGTTCTTTACCGTGGGGTAGGTGCGCAAAAAGATACTTACCACACTTACACAGACAATCTGAAAACAAAGTAACTGGACCGTACTGCATGTGTTCCCTCCTTATAGTTTTGTCTTATGCAATGAAAGCACCATTTCCAAAACTGAGTGTTTAGTTCATCACTATGTATTGGTTTTAAGACAAGGGGCTGACATACACATTATAAAAAGTGTTTTTTCAATAGCTGTGATTTAATAATTTTAGACAATAGCAGTCTGCCAATGGAGCATAAAGTGCAGACATTATTACAGGATATAAGCTTTAAGTATAGACTTACAGAAGCCTGGAGGGCAGCAGTCTGAAGCTTAACACTTTAATTTACTGTGTGTGGTTAGCAGGAGAGCCCTTCTCCAGGTGTTCCCATGTCAGTCATAAGCTTCAGCGGCTGGAGTATCAATCATGCAGCGCAACGGCAGACAAGAGCAGCGCTAACCACGTATTGGTTTTATGTCACCAATAAAATGGGTAGTGTTTCTGAACAGCACAAGACGGGAGCTGTCAGGAGAAACTCTCTTTTCCCAAATAATTTTCATAGAGCGCTGGCTTAAAGCAGACTGCTGTGGGAAATCCCTAATCCAACCCTCTCAGTTTAAAAAAATTACAAAAATACAGTAAATATACCAATTACTGCAGACTATCCGGCGCAATACTCTCTTTTTCAGCACATTCTTCCCATCTATTATGTTACCATTTTGGTAATCTAGTTGTTTCAAAAGTACGCCATGAGAGAACGTGATGTATTAATGTTATCTCTTTTCTTGGACATACAGACAGCCACCGCAGATCCCCATCACCACCAGCGCCAGTATGGTCTATCCTGGGGCGATCACCATGGCGACCACCACACCCTCACCTCAGATGACATCAGAGTGCTCGAGTGCCTCGGCAAGTCCCGAGCCAACCATTCCTGTCATTCAGAATACCTTCAACATGAAGCTAGAGCCCAACCTCATGGCAAATAACACTGTGCCAGTCAATGGCGAGGATGTGATGGACATGTACGAGGAATTTGAGGATGAGCCCAAATCAGACTATAGCAGTGAAAATGACACACAGGGGCGAGTCAGCGCCAACTGAGACCTCTTCAATGGAAAAGGCCCATGCAGACAACACTCATACAGGAGGATGCTCGAGGGCTGGTTTGATCTGAGGGAGCGAAAGAGCAAAACAAAACAAAACTACACCACAAAAGGTTAAAAAATGTTTTTTTTAAAATAGGAAAAAAAATAACAGTGTATCATTTATGAGCCAGCATGCAGATGTGGCTTCATCTGAATCAAAAGCTATTTGGTCTTAAGTGTTTCTTCAAGTGTGTGGAGCAGTTTGGTTGTGTTCATTTAGATTTTTTGTTTGTTATCTCATTGTTTATTTTTTCATTCTGAACACGGACATTTACACGATTAGGTCATTGCCTAGAACAAAATATTTAACTTGAAATTGAGCATTTCATATGAACCTGTAATTCTTACAGTCATATACGTATTTTGATTTTGATATATTGCATAACTGTTCAAGATGGGGATAATATTCTCACTCAGGTATAGTGTGCCAGCCAACAGCTTGTGAATGTTTTTAATCAATAATTCATTATTACCAGTACAAAATATCTCAAATTCAGATGTGTGAGTGATTCCAACATATTACAGAGGGATTTTCATTTTATTAATATTATTTTAATTATTATTTGCGTTTTTGTTGATATTGTTATTACACAAACTGCATTATTTAGTGCAGAAGTGCCAAACATTTTAAGTTGTTTCTAAAATCTGTAAAGTCTTTTGGGAGAGGCTTGGTGACTCTTGGACAATCTCTTGATCTCTTAATACAGCTTCATTATCCAGTCTTTCTTTAATTGACCCTAACAGAATACACAAATGAAACTCAGGAACTTGGAGGCAGCAGGCTCTGCGGGAGGTTACAGTATGTGACATCTTTGGGTGGTAGCTTGTGATGCTAGCTGTTCTCCAGGGAGCCTAATGCAGTGATCATCAATGAACGCGGCCAGTTCTTTCATTTCCTTATCCCAGTCTACACAGTGGCGTCTTTAACTCATATCCAGCTCTGCAACCCAGTCTGATTCACCAAGTTCTTAATCAGAGTGATTGTAATCAGGCCAGAATGCAAAAGGGCCAAAGGCCTCCAATCTGTGGGATTGGAAGAGCAGCGAAAGGCAGCTTTGGGGGCATTACAATCTCAAATTGATGTTGTACAATGTGTAGCTACAGTACATTCTGTTAAATGCTTTAGCCCCATTTGGACTGAAAGTTTAAAGTCTTACGTCTTAGAACTTCATTTTTTTTTCAATCTTAATTCTGTTTAGACATTGTAAATCTTAAATTGACACTAAGAAGTCTTAAATCCGAGCACAGTCATAGGGTTGAAGCAATGAGTTGATTACTACCGGAGTCTTAAGAGGAGGGACAGCCTGTGAGGATATTTAGAAACTTGAAAGAAATCATATGTGTGTTGCTTAAATTACCTCGTCATAATTGCATAGCAGGGGTACTTTGAAACACTTTTTTAAATTTGTTTTGCATAGTGCACTTATACAAATCTTATTCTGTCAACCTTTAGCCTTATGTTGTATTTCTTGAATAATATTATCAGCTTACCAGCACTTAAATATTGCGTTTAAAACAGGAAAACATGCAATGACTCAGAAATGAGGGGCACAAGCAAAGTCTCTCTCCTATTTCAGCCAAAAAGCTGACAAGTGGTGACCTTCTGGAGACTGCAGCTAGATAAAGCAAGGCCTTGATGTTGAGACTCAGATCCTCTTTATAGGGCAGAAGGTCTAAGTGGCTCCCCTCCCTGCCATGCCCTGCTCTGACCCCTGCCCATGGCAACCTCAGCACCCAGGGGGCGCCATCTGGCCCAGAGAAGGAAAAAACAACAGGGAAGGAAAGGGAAACAATAAAGATGTGGTGTGTATCCCTCATTGTGCTTTCCATCAAAGTGCTGGTAGTAAGGCCTCAACAGGGCTCCCACCCCAGCCCAATCTCCAGGCACTGGCGAGCAGATGGAACAAGTACATCAAGCTGTGGGGGATTATTAAAATGACTGACGACTGGGTATCATCTGAAATACAGCATTATTAATGCATGAGTCCAGCTATTCCCCTCCCTTGCCCTTGAACCTGTCCATTTCAGAAAGAGCACAGAGCTTATTGAAGGATCTCAATAGCTGGTCACTGGCTTTAACTGGTCAACATCCCCACTGCTGGTCACTGCATTTTCTCCTAGCTCTAATTGGTACAGATGGCTCTTTATATCTCACTCATCTCTTCTGAACTCTTATTGTCAATATCAGTGCTGTTTTGAAAGCATTTATTTTAAGTATTTGTAGCCCCTCATTCATAATTGTTTTCTTCATAACATTTTCTCTCCATTGTTCTCATTTTGAGGTACAAACTATTTAAAAGATGCTCTCCTACAAAGCAGTTTGCTCCTGATTGCTGGTGGTTGGATTGATTTGTATGTGATTGTAAATATTTGTATGACCATGCCACACTGCTTTAGTTGGCTGGAAGTTAAAAAGAACTCTTCACGGAACTGAAACTTGACTGTGCTTATATAGCAAAAAAAAGACAAAAAAAAGAAACTCATGTGGAGACAATGTTTCATAAGTGTTATAAGCACTGGATATAAATTGTATTTTTATCAATGCTGATTAATGTGAAGCTGTTTGAGGAAAATCACCATGAACAAACATAATTCCCCAGTTGGACTCAAGTGGGTTTGCTCTCACAGTTGCCAGATTTGAGTCATTTTGTGTCTACTTATTTTGTTTATTTATGCAAAGACTCATGTGATGAATGAACACTTTGTTTAAGCTTCAGGGCTGCCTAGGGGAGAGACTCAGCACAAGAAAGTGAGCAGATAATTCAACAGCAGGCTCGGTTAGCCGTCAAACACCAGACTTCAATGCATTGTATATTGTATTTGAAACTGTAGAATATCAACATATTGTATTTATTATTAGCCACTGTCGGCTCTAAATTTGTCAGCAAAACAACAACATGGACAATCAGAGAAAAAAAAAACATGTTTGATGAATTGGAGCTATAAAAAAAGGTTTTCAGTGATTTCACCATCTCATTTAGATTTTATTGTAAATATAACATAGGAAATATATTTTTGTTCATTAGTGAAGTATAAGTTATGTATTTGGCTGTTATTTTATTTACTTTCTTAAATTTGTGTACGTGGTTTCATGTTTTTAAAACCTGACAAGTCACAGTACCTCATGTAGATGCTGATTTTTTTTTTCTGCTTATTGAAAGACAGCAGTATTGGACCTGAGACAGAGAGAAGCACCTCACTTGCTTAAGTTTTGATAATCTTCCCTGGAATATATAAAAAAAACAATCAGAATAACACGACACCCATTAGATGTGTTAACATAAAGGAGTCATTACAAATACGGTACTCATTCAAACAACAAGCACTTGATGTAAAATAATTATTCAATTATTTGTGTCCAATAATGATACAATCTAAATGGTATGCTGTATATCCTCACATGTGTTTTTGTGTTTATTACAGCACTCATAGTGTGTGGCTGGTTTCTTACGAGGAACCGTTGTCAGCCAAAATAATCTGCATGCATTTGGCTTGCATTGACATTACCAGAATAAACAAGGTTTTTTTTTCTTGAAAAATGGTTTCAAACACAAGCAATGTTTTAATTTTATTTGTGTGAGAAGTTGGGAGCGTGCAAATATGTATTTGTTTTAATGTGGCAAAATGCACCAACATTGTGCATTCTTCTTAATTCTCTCCTGGTCATATTGTTGTATGTTTTGAATGTTCATACCTATCCAGCCATCTGAAAATGTAGCCCTCACAATTGTTTTCTCTAAATCCACTTGCAATGGTTTGAACAAAATAACTGAAGACAAAAGCTTGTATGCTGTTTCAACATTATTTACTGTAATTCAATTTATTTCTGTATGGACTTTGTGATGTATATGGTGGGAATGTTCTCTGTGTTAATTTAATCAGCACAATTCACTGACATGCTGGACTGACATGCTAGCTGCTGTTCAGAAGTGTAAAACTGTTGTTCGGAGCAACGTTTATAGTTGTCTTTGGTACTTTGCTTTTTAGAGTTGTCTCTCAAGCAACACTGTGTGTGGCTCTTCTATCACTGGAGCCGATGTTGAAATTGCTGGCAGCCTGATACAATTTTCTGCGTAGAATCTTTCTTGTTTTGTTTTTTTCTGGCAGGTACCTAGGCCCATGGCAAGTATTGTTTGGGTGTTATTAGAGAAAATGAAATACATAGTGTCTGTTGCTGCTTCAAAAAAAGTTTATGTCTGAATATGTAAATAGTTTATCATAATATCTTGTACAGTCCAATGTAAAGTTTTTAATTCAACTTAAAAAAAAAATGTTGCCATCACATTTGTGTTCACATTCTTCTTTATACAGTACAAAAGATTGATTATTTGCTAGGGGTATTATTGCTTAAAAAGAAAAAAAAATGAAGATGTTATTACATTTTTCTTATGTTTGTTTTGCTTGGCTTCAAAGTGTAAACCAGCAAGTCTTTGGTTTCCATGTGCAGTATTGACGTGAGGTAAAGGTGAATAATTTTACAGTGGTGTGTGTGGAGAGCAGTCTCCTCGGCTTTGGTAGTATTAATTCACTATATCAAGTAAAAACAAACCAATGAGTGACACATTTGGGTGCATCTAGGCACCATAGAAATGTGTATAATGTATATGAATAAACTATCCCCGCAGGATCAATTCAGGCATATTAACACCATTTTCTGTATGTAAAAATGCAACAGTGGGATGAATAACTGCCTGTTTAAGCTCATTTACCTCAAGAATTTCCTCCTTTTCTGTAAGAGACAGAAATTGTGTTACAGAAACCTTCTCCCATCACTCCATCTTTTGTACTGCTGTTGACACTTACAAATTAAAGAGACATTTTGTTTTAAGAATTTGAGTAATTACTTTCATTGTGGAATTATTCATCATGTAATTTCTTCTTGTTCAGGTGTTTTTCTACAATGTATAAAATAGAGAGGTTTAACAATTATAAATCAAAGGCTTATTATAGTGCACTTTTAGATGTTTAACCATACACGGTTCCTAATATCTCTTAATATTTTACATACATGATTTGTCCTGCCTTTGTCGGCTTAGTGTAAATTAATTACTTTTGTAATAATATAATTTAATACTGATCAATTTAAATATTTTTAAAAACAATATTAAAGTAAGTTATTCATACATTTAATGGACAGGTTATGCAGTAACTACTTATATCTATAAAGTGTTGATTTAGATAAGCCTTTATAGGGGTTCTATTTGTACCATATTATAATATAATAGAGGCCGATATAAAGTGAATTTAAATACATTCTGAACAGGATGTTGTTGATTCAATTATTGTTTACTTTACTTTATGAATTCCTGGAGATGATGACCTCCTGGGTAATAGCTACGGCGATGTTTTTCATTTCACAGCACACTGAAGGAGATGTGTGTCATGAATATTTAACTTTAGCACTGGTGCCACTCAACTTAACAAATATAATCTGATCAAACCTAACACTTAACATGTTATCAAATACAAAGTTTGTTGCCTGAAAAACCGAACATATAGTTTGGCAGATACAAAAAATAAATAGGCATTTACTGTGCAGCCTCTCACTGTAGTTTGGTTACTAAAGCACACGTCCTAAAGATCCTTGACCTCCTGAATGAAGAGGTGCAGGCTCAGTGTGTGTGTGTGTTTGTGTGTGTGTGTGTTGCTTATTGAGACAAGGGTGTGTGTGTGTGTGTGTGTGTGTGTGTGTGTGTGTGTGTGTGTGTGTGTGTGTGTGTGTGTGTGTGTGTGTGTGCCAGAGGTCATCTCGAAAGTTGTAAACCCAGACTATGTCCATCACTCTTCTCTGGATCTCTGCCATCCATTGCTCATTATCATCATGATTATTATGAGTTCTACACGCTGCTTCCCTTTTAAATAATGTCTGCCTTGATGGGCTAAAACATTTCAGACAACATTTGAGCCAGTGTTATTATAGTCAGCATATAATTGACTGATTTGCTGGTCTTCTCGCTCTGTGTTAGCAATGCTCACCTACATAAAAGGAGAACAAAACAATCTCGAACAAATGCCCTTTAAACCATTTGAGTAAACTGTTTAATTATTGGCAATCCCTTTGTCTTTTACAATTATATTGCATGCTTCTTTCTTCAGGGCAATGAAAGCCAACAGTTTAACGACAGTGTCTGTAAAAGATGTCTGTGTAAGCGCTCTGCAGCACTAGATGGAAAACTAGACATATACCTCTGCACAATAAATCTTATAGTAATTTTCCGAGCCTGTATGACAACTAATGGCATGGAGAAAAGCTCTGTACTTTGTGTATTCGTCTTTGCATTATTGTGCAAGTGAGTGCATCAAATTAAAGCACTGCTGAGTTGGTGATATGCAAGACAATTTGTATTAGTGTCTTGCGCTGTTTTTGTTTCTTATTGTTCGCAAAGATTTCTGTATAAACTAAATAAGAGGTCAGCGTGACTAATAGGGGGGCTGGTGAGCTATGTGGAGTAATACTGCTGTTTGTAAGTGGCCTGTTTGGATGAACTGTCACTGTTGTACAAAGATGTGTATGTTTGAACAGCGGATAATAATTAATACAGCAATGCTGTCGTGTAGCGGCAGGGCTGCAATTTCACAACTCTGATGACTAAACACCGGTGGGAAGGGGAGCAGTGAGGGGAGCCCGGAACAATATTTTACTCATTTGGATCTGCTCCTTGGTACAGCCGTTGCACCCAGTGAATCTGTCAGACAGCACCATTTCCCCAAGAACAGCTGCTATTTATCTGATTTTCTCATTAGAGTTGACTCATGACTTCATTGTACTGGCTTTGGCAGAGGTAATGCAGCCGCTAGGTATCGCTCTTTAAGACGGCCCAGAGATGCTCTCCTTGATGTTACTGGATGTTACTGGATTTAGAAATATGTAACACCTGGCGGGTTTTTTTCTCTCAGATTTTCGATCATCCGTTAAAATGACGTTGAACAAGATTTCTATCTGATTCAACACCTCTTAACCAGATGTTAATCATCTTTATGTGACTTTCAGGTTATTTCTCTTTTTATTTTGCAACAGAGGTGAGAGAAAATACTTTAATCTCAAGAGCCAAACATGTGTACAAGAAGAGTATGTAAGAACAGCCCCCACACTTAGCGATGTTTTAATCCTTGGAGGTGAAGGACTTAGGAAATCTTGCTAATTTCACAGATGGTTTAAAATAGATTAGTGTGGAGTAGCAGCTCCCGGAGAAGGGCTGACCCACCAGGCTCCCTGTGCAGCTGCCAGAACCCTGCACCTCATGCTCAGGAGTGCCTTCCAAAAGTCCTGCAAGGTTAAACTCAAACTTAAGCATCCTGAAATGCCATCCTTGTTGTCAGCTTTATTGAATCTTCAATTCATTTCTGCATTTTGATGTGATTTAATATTCATCAAATATTTAATTTACATGTAAGGGCATTTAGTTTTCTGATCAGAAATCTTTGCATTGACTTTTAATGTTGTCTTTTTTACAGTTAAGTCTATGTTTAATTGATCAGTCTTTTTTTTGTTACCTTGAAATGTATGTATGGGCTTGGAAAATATAACTTCCTGTTCTTGGCTAAAACAACACACTGGGGCACAAAGGATGTTGATGGGTCCACTGGGCCAGGGAGACTATTCTTACTGGTTACTTTGTCTTCTTTGTCATTAGACATTTTGTACAATGCATCCAAGAGATGTTTTGTTGTAATGGAATAAAGGAGTGAATCAGACTCTGCATGGTATTTCGAATAGGCCAAGCCTGCTGCTCGAGCTGGGCTGTGTCCGAGGAGGCCTGACACAACTCTGGCCTGGTTGAAAAGGCCCAGCTTGGAGTTAATGTGGAAAGACAATGGCTCAGGGAGAAAAACTCGACATGGTTTTGTTGGACTTGTCATTCTTTGGTGCATAGCTGTGAGAAAAGCCTAGGAACCATCTGAAGGTTTTTTTTGTTTTGGTTTTTTGACCCATATCTGGGACAGCTTTCACAAAGAGGGTTGAAACAATGGAGAGGCGCTTTCAGAAGGACAGGCCGCGACTCCGGCCAAACCATCTTGGACCTGCTTCACTGAAATGGTTTGTCACCAAAAGGCTGACATCCCAGCAGTGCTATTGGTGTATTTTAACAAAAGAACAAAAATAATGACGACTAATCCCATCCAAGAATTAGAAATATGTTAGAATAAAATGTAACACCAAGTAAATCTAGTGACTGGGTGTTAACAAAAATCACAACAACCACTACCTTTACATCCAATATGTGACATCTCAAAATGTTATTTTAATAACATTTGAATTATTAAAAGAAAACAACATGAATGTTATGGATATGTTGTCAAAGAGAATTGCATATTTCCTTGCTGAACTGAAATGATACTGAAGATATATTTATGTTTATGTAAATGAATCTGGTTCTCTGAGCACAGGAACACTGGGTTGCTAAATGAACTTTTGAAAATCCACACGGGACAATATTTCAGAAAATGTAATTTTGCATACTGTTTCACATCACTGCATCTCCTCAGTGCATTTGTCTCCAAAAACGTTTGACTGCATTTCTGTGGGGGAAGAATAAATGCGTAATGTTTTTTTAAAAGCATCTCTGCATCTGCTCCCTGAGCTTTTTGAAGAATTTAACAAATAAAGGTTTCTTTCTTGGAATATGTGTTATTCTCTGAAAGCTATCACTCAGCTCTCTCATGCATATGTGAATTACACACCTTTATGAATATGTAAATGTTGCGAGAATGCCTCATTAATTAGTAATTCATGCATTTTTCACAAGCCCAATACTCTGCAAGTGTAGTCTGATGAATTATCAGCCAGAAGTTAAAAAAGGCATTCATCATCACGATTTCAGAGGTTTTGATCTGTAATTTGTGTAATTCAATGAATATGATTCACATAGCTTTTTCTGGCGGTATCGTTGCAGCTGTCTCATGATGTGATCTATGGATTACTACTTGGAATCTGAAAGTGCACTTATAATGTTAACAGGCACATTTCTCCATGTAGATGTTTACTTATATTATTATCGTCTGGTTGAAATATTAAAATGCAAGCATCTCAAATTATTTTTCTCAGTATGTTCCATTTGATTAGTTTTATTACTGTTTTTTGTCATTTCAAAATAGATCTGAAGAAAAATGATGAGATGTCAAAAGAGCATCTCATGCAACACAAACTGTAGCCAAGGGGAAGTCAATCAAGAAGCCTTATAGAAGCATCTTGTCCGTGTGCATAGATTATGCATATCCTTCTCCAGTGACATTTTTCAGTACGAGATTCTTGAAGTATGTCAAATGAAGACAGCAAAATGCTCAAAATATTTGTCTCAATACCATTTCTAGACAATCTCAGGATTTAAGAAAGTTTTGGCATGTTTTGCCTGCTTGACAATATTGCAACTCATCCAGGGGACATGGTATTGTTTTTTTTTATAAAATATTTTTGTAGGGATGAATATCGACATAGCAGTTTTTCTATAATTCAGAAAATCTTATTGATGAAATTTAGACAAAGATGGTAACTATTGAACAGCATCAATAGTTCCTTGCTCACAGACAGATCTCACAGACAACTAAAATAAAACTTCACATAATGTACAGATAATTAATCAGTTTTCCTGAAGATGTTGTGTACATTCTTTAGGAAATGTAGATTACCCTAACCCTAACCAGAGAAAACGTGATCCATGACTCTCCATACGCCAAACACACTCCATGAACCAAGTTCCTCTTTGAGATTTTTGTGTCCACCAAGATGTGAGCATTTTCAATCTTGAATTTCGCTTGGATTAAATACACTTCCTGTATATGGCAATAGTGTCTTGGGGTTTCCTGGACATGTGGCTTTTAAATGAGCCCTCC